TCTGAGAGGGAAGAGGACAGCTCTTCTTCCAATTCATTATGAAAACCCAGGCTTTGACAGATGCGATACGAGATGTAACGTCTGTAAAGCGACTTCCTCCCTTTAGCGAGCCAGCAAATAGCAGGTCGTCCAGAGAAAACCACATGCCGGCGAACACATTCCAGCCTCTGTTTGATCGTCAGCATGTGGAACACTGACAGATCAAGGATGGGTCTCACTCCCCCATTTTTTTCCCGGGATTTAGAAAATAACGGGAGTAAAAAACCCTGATTTTCCTCCCTTTTGGAAAAAATGCCTTTTTCAACAGAAGTTCCTGCAGCGCTGAATGGGGATGCATGGAGGTGTGTGCAGTGCTGCCCACCTGAGGCATTAACGGCGCTCATGGGTTTATTAAGGCCGTGTGTACGAGGCGTATCTCGGACAGAGGAATGCCGCGAGCTCTGTAGTTTATTAACCAACAGGTTAAAACCAGGCTTCTGCAGCGAGCCCTGCTGTCTACTAATCAACAGATTAGTGGCAGCCGGCTTAATTAGCGCGCTCTGAAATGTATTAACCAACAGATTAAAACCAGGCTTTAGCAACGAGCCCTGCTGTCTATTAACCGAGAGGTTATAGGCTTGATACTGATGACTCAGACAAAAAGTTGGAAAATAAACAATCCCCCCAAAAAAGGCCCCAAACGGCTCTGCTTCCTTGGTGGTCTGGCGGGCAACATACTGGTCTCTGGGGGCGGCCAACGTAGGACGCCGTCCGGCAATCAAGTTGGCCTGTTCTACCCCGAAAAACGCCGTCAGGCTCGGATCCAGAGAAGGGGTGGCTGGGAAGCCCGCATCTGTAAACCCCTCCACCTTAGTGAGGGGAACAAATGTGCCCACCGGAGCCTTCAGGGCCCTCGGGTTCGCCGCCGACCCCTCCTGGTACCTCCTGATGGCCAGATCGGGTCACTCCTGACCATCTGCACCCGTGAGAAAACTCCGGCCATTTCGTCCGGAGCACACCTCTCCTGAGCCAGGGGAACGGGGAGATTTTTGCAGGCAGCCGCCTACCGGAAGGGAGCCCGAGGGTGGGGCCCACCTTGCGGGCGGGCGTGGACTACAAGTGCTTTCAGTGCTGCGCGGGTGCGCAGGGGGATTACCCAATAGCGATATACAGCCATATACGAAATAGAACTTAATGTTTCATCAGTTTCAGTTTCCTGAAAACAGAGGAGAGTTTACTATTTAAAATATATTTATGAGTCATCTTTGTGATTTGTAAAAACCGCTCTGAGGGGAGAACGTGCGGTCGTCCACGGCACGGTGACGTCGTCCACGGCAACTTGACACCGCTCAGGAACCGGAGAGAGAGAGACCATCGGCAGAAAGGAGAGAACATAAACCATACATCTAAATGTTCCATCTTGAACATTTCTAGACTTCATTTACAGAAATGGATAAAAGCCGATCTGAAAACGATTAAACAAACGCCTGAGATCTGAGACATGAGACCTGAGACCTGAGACAGACTGTAAGACCTGAGACCCGAGACCCGAGACCCGGCCCGCCCTACATGCAGATCACGCAGACTGTTGGCCAGGGGGGACCCTGGGGGAGACCCTGTGTGCACAAACAAGGTTCAAGGTTCTTTATTTGTCATACGAACATAGCTCCAGAGTAGTTATGACGATGAAAATCTTGTGTCACAGGCTCCTCCAACAGAGCAACACAATAATACGGAAAAACAGAAAAATATAGTACAAGTAAATATTAAAAAGTAAATACAAAAAGAAAAATAGTTTAAAAAAAGTGAAATAGTGAAATAAGAGTCTATATGCAAGCTATTGGGATATGATATGTTAGAATGTAACGGAGGTGATCTTTGGGCAGAGGCGGATCTAGACAAATATTCATGGGGTGGCCAGAGGGTGGCAGGAGATTCTGAGGGGTGGCATCCCCTGGCAGAAGTATATGCTGATTTAATCGCAGTCATATCAATCAATGTTAACTTGGAAAGTCACAATATTTATTTTAACTCAATAACATTAGGTGACATTATTGTGGCACATCAGTAAAGCCTTACATATAAATATATAAGGTGGCAGACAGAGTTTGTTTCACTCTTAGACCAGCAGGGGTACCAAATCTATGAAGACTGCTGCAATAAGCACATTAATTAACTGTCTCATCGATGTTTGTCTGAATGAATATGATAATATTAACAATCATATTATTCCAATCAGCTGTCAATCACTGTTAAGATTCACATATTCATTTATTATTGAATAAACTATATTTTTTGGAGAGGATGCTTGCTCACCCTCCTTCACATTTGAAAGACAAGTAATTATATCATGTATCATAATTCAAAAGAATCAAAGGAACAGTTCAGCGCCCCACAACTTCATTGCAAACAGTTACAACCTTGACTTTACATCAGAAAGAACAAACATTAAAGAAATGACTAACTGCATCAATTAGGGTTAAAAAACGTGTATTCAGCTCAAACATACACATCGCTGAAGTTATTATCCAGTGGAAAGCCCTTACCTACTGGCCTAGTTAAATCGAAGTGGTTACTTCCTGTTGGCTGGGCTGAAGTTTTACACACCGTCTTATTTGACTTTCTCAGGACTTCAAACTGTTTGTTGGGGGCAGACCCCCACAAAGAAAAAAATATATTTACACACGTAAGGTCATCATCTTAACAGTTTATTATTCTCATCGAGTCATCCGTGAGCAGAGCATCAAGTTGGCATGCATAACAGCTGAATGCGGCGATTACCATCTTGTTCAGCAACACGCCACAAACTGATTAAGATCTAAAGCTTTAGTGCGTTTTGATTCAATGCTGAGTACCATAGATATATATATAAACACTAGATGGCTGAAGGGGGAGTCGCCAGCGTAGCTCACCGGCGGCCATCTTGCCACAGTCAACAACTACTGCTACAGCTGTTGTAAGGCGAGTGATCTGCACAAAAATACTCTTAACTCGCTGAAATCTTGACTGATTTACAAACGGTTTAGCTAATTATAAACGTTATTAGCATGGCTATGATACAGGAGACAACAAGACATGTTGAAAAAAAAAAGTTCATGATTATAATTATAAGTAGGCAGTATCATAACTACATCTTTGATGTTTATAACGAACCAAAGCGTTTGAAAGTTGGTTGAAAATTGAGCAATCTACGGTTATTTCAATAGTGCATCAGAGTCATAATGTTATGAGTGAGCAAGCTGCCTGTGGCAAGATGGCCGCCATGTGGCAACGTCTGTCTCCATTGGCCAGCAGCGCAGGTGAGTCATCTAGTGTGCTGAGTACAGCCAAACTTGACAGTCTCTTCTCTGTCATTGTAGACCGCAAATACCTCATTCCTTCCGTCTACTTGAGTCCGAAATGCTTCTCGTTTTGCGCTGTCCCCCCATTCAAATGAAATCGCCGCCAATCATATTTCCAAGCTCGTGCCAGGGCGGGGGAGGGGTTACAAGGCTCGCGTCTTGTGCTGCTTTCACTTGCACTCGGACATTAGAGATTTTCTCTCATAAATGTCCGATGAGCCACAACTTTTATTTCTAAACAAAGATGCCAACTGGGGTGGCAGCTGGGACTATTTTTTAGGATGACAGTTGCCACCCCATGCCACCCCGGTAGATCCGCCTCTGGCTGGCACTAAGTGCTGGGAACTAAGTACGGCAAAGTACTTGCGGCTATTGTAAAGAGTGCTGCAGGAATGTTTTCTAAAATCCGAAAATTAGTTAGTCCCTCTTCTTGAGGTCAAGAGTTTTTTAAACATTTTTTGGTTAGAGGCCTGAAATAAGGTCAGAGGTCACATAAGCTTAAGAAAATTATCCCATTATGTTCTATGACATTAAATATGTCAATTAATAACCGATTTGTGAATTTCGAGAGCTTCTATGTGTTTTAAAAACAGCGTTTGCAACAAGGGGCTAAATGAGACTGCTAAACATCATCACACCAAACATTACTACCTTTAGCTTAGCAGGCTATTGTATAGCTCCTTTATAGCATAGTGATAGCTTTTAGCATGTTTGAAATACTGTTTGGGGAGATTATCCTGCTGCATTCAGTTTGTTATTTATACCAGAAACTCTCATGCATTCACTTGTTATCCCATTCAACACCACATTTCTTAAATAATACCCTTTTGATCTTGGTATTTTGACCTTTATATTTGAAATGTAAGAAGAATGTTCTCATCAGATCTGAATTAATTAGCCAAACAAGCTGAGCCAAAATAGCAATAGGATGTGTTCATACGTTTCACTTACAGGTGACCAAATCAAATGAACCATTACCTTGGCTAAAATTTGAAAACTGTTGGAAACATTTGGGTTGACCTTGACAATGGAACTATTATTAATTATTCATTATTATCCAATATTAAACAATTGACCATTTGTGTAGCTGTTGGGCCAGAAGGAGGGCCTGAGCCTCCAGGTGACGCAGCTGACCCTGGACTGCGCCATGCACCAGCAGAAGAGCACCGTGATCCAGAACCAGATGAAAGAGCTGCAGGCAGAGAGAGACCAGGTGAGGAACTGACAACAATCTCATCGGTCCTGTCTTTCATCAATTATTTTATTTCTGTTTGCCCTGCAGTCTAGGATTCTATTGTTAGGCTTAGTTGGAACTGATCTTGCATTGCATCACACTGTTTGTTTTTCCTGTTGAAAAGTCAACCGGTCGAGTGTGAGCAGTTTGGTGGGAGACTATAGAATATCAGCTCTCTTACTTATTCTACATCTAACTCTCTGTCCTGAATAAGATATGTTTCTAAAATGTAGCACATTACATCGAGGTAATTTGATATTATTCATGTGAGGGCATTCTTTGGACATGTGTTCAACAAATTCAGGATATGCTACTGATCTGGGGCTAACACCTGCCCCATCTGTTGGTTGTGCTAGTAGTAGTAGTTGCATGTTCCAAAAAGAGAGCACCTGCATCTGTCATTAAGGAGAAACACATACATTATTAACATTATGAAGGAACAGGTATGATATGTGCACATATCGTAATGCAAACTGTTCAAAGATGCAGGTGAAAGGAATGAAACAGGGTGGTCACAATAGCCGTAACATTTGAGACAAACAATAAGTAGGACAATAATAATGAAGACTTGCATTGGGAAAGAGACGTTTGTAAATCAGCTTTTATTTATTTGTTTTGGCTAACTCAACTACGAACACTTGAAAACCCCTATTCACTCTATGAGGGCAGTGACCATCAACTGGCGGCCCGCGGGCCAAATCCGGCCCGCCAGACATTCTCATCCGGCCCGCACGACGGGGGTGACTGTGGCACTGGCGGAGTGGTTAGTGCGTTCGGCCCCCACCCTTTTTTTTTACAACGTCTCGTGAGTAAGGTGCAGTACCGGAGTCCAACAGAGAGGCAGCAGCTGCGGGGCAGTAGACTGCATACTGCATACTGCGAAACCTTCCCTGCCTTGAAGAAGAAGTGATCCTTCGTTGTGAAGAGTCTGCTTTGTGCGCTCAACAGACTAGAGCCCAACAGAGAGGCAGGAGCAGTAGCCAGGACAGTAGCCTAGAAAGTGATCATTCGTAGCGTGAAGAGTCTGCTAAGCTTTATGCGCTCCTCAGTACCTGAGCATGCTCCATTAGACTTTAGAATGATCCACATATTGTAGTGAGCAGTAACTATTGCAGGAACTATTTTCTTTTTTCTGAACTGTCCATGATAAGATGCACGTCTGTTCTTTATTTTTGTTTAAGAGACTTTGCTCTTGAGTTTTTCAAATGTATATTTTTGGCGAGTTGAACACCACAAGCCGAGTGACATCTAATTAGATTGATATAAAATGCAACACAGTGTGGAGTAAAATATGTTTTTTTATTTATTTTCATTAAATCATTCATCACCAATCACATTGGTTATGTAACGTACAGTTCTATCATGCATTATTATTAGGGCCGGGACGCGATTAAAAAAATTAATCTAATTAATTACAGGCTTTGTAATTAATTAATCGCAATTAATCGCATTTTTAATCGCATATAAATATTTGACCTGAGAACAGTGAGAAGCAATTTTTTTCACATGGATTTTAGTATACCATTGAATAATGACTGAATACATAAGCTTAAGCAACAAAACATTGTTTATTTTTTTCAAGGCTATACTTAACAAAGACCAACAGAAAAGTGAAATTTTTGCCATAAAGTGTAGCAATAGCATATTTAGGAATACAGTACATTTCAGAGATTCAGGTAGCCTATAGGTAGGTAGACCTTCTGTAAACTATAACACTTTGTTTTTGAAGTATAACACAATACTCTTGCTCATTTACTTTTGTCTTACTCCGCCTCTTACACACACACACTCACACACACAGCACTCTCTCTCTCTCCTCACCACTAATTGTATCGGTTAACGAAAAATCGTTATTATTTTATAACTTCACAAATTAACTTATCCTTTCCCCAATTGCAATACGTCCAAAAACACACTCTCTCTTATTTATTCTATCGGGTTATAAATTATTTTTAGATAAGAAAAAGCGTTGAAAGGCGTATAAACAAACGTTGAAGGGCGTAAAGTGGCGTATTTAGGATTTTTGGGACCGTACAAAAATCTAGCGTATTAGTTCCTAAAATCGGGCGGTATTAGTTCCTAAAAAACGGGCGCAAAAAGACCTCCCAGATTGAGTTCTTGTTATGTTACTCTCTTTTTGAACCTCGTCGTTGGATGCAACTTCTGTACCATATTATAAATCCCCGGCCCTGAAATTGCCGCAATTAATTCTATTTAATTATGTGTTTTTAATTGCGCAATTTTTTTAATTGCGTAAATAGCGTGAATAAAAACGTGGCGCCTTGCAAAAGGTGCACCTACTCAAAAGTCCCCATGGCTAAATGCCCTCCGTGGTTGATTGCAAGTAATGAAGTCTGTTGTTGTTTGGTTCACTTGTTTATCAGGGTTTGCACCTTTTTGGGGGGTGGGGCTTTCTTCGACTACTCTGGCGAAACCAACCGGGGCACCTACCCTGTAAAACAAAATTTTTTGCCTGCCTCCCTTCTAGCTATTCTCGTGTCAACAAACGTTTAATTACGTTTTTTCCTTAAGCGTATAGTGGCGTCGTGTAGTCGGAGTCATAGACTGGAAGTTACGTTTTTATCATCGGTCAGATCGCATCTTCGAATCGCACCTGCAATCGGGCTGAGCCTATATGTTCCTGGGTGTGGTAAGCGCAACTGTTTGTCACCGGGATACGTTGTCTCTCCTAAAAAATAAAAAGTAGTCCTTTATAACTTTCTTATAAAAAATAAAATCATAAAATTTACCATGTGAAATACAACTTTGATAAATAATGCAACAACCACGTTGACCGTGAAATACAACTTGACAAATACACAAAACCGGTTCCTAACTCTCTCAACCCTGACTTAACTAATCCTAAAAAATTTAGTTGACAACCATTTAAGTTGTTTCCAAGACAATACGGAGACTTCGTTGTCTCTCTTACAAAAGATTATCAGTCCCAAAGGTTACAAGACT